AGTGTTGGGAGGGATTTTTCGTGAAATATCATAGTTTATCAAACCACACAAAGACTACACTCACATAAAAGCACTAAGTATAATTCTATCTGTATAACAGAAATGTGAAAAGGTACCAGTTTTTAATATTTTCAAACTTTTGAAACAACTTAATCTGAAATTTTAGCTCAAGGAACTCTAGAGGGAACTAATCTATTTATATACATATATGAATGTTTTTTTAGAGAGACACATAAAGACATCTCAAATCTCAATCATGCTATTAAGAAAGTGATGATTCATTCATGCTCATGCAGTAGTAATGATCCACAGATTTATAAACGTACAGTAGTGTCAGATCCTAATCTGAAGAAAATATGCGTTATTTGATTTTCAGAATATGCTTTCCTGTACAATTCTTAAGCTGTAACCCTCAGAATGCATATGTGTAACACGTCACAATTTTAAAAGAAGGTATTGGCTTTTGCTGGTGAAAGACTCTAAAATATTTCTCTCAAAAACATGTTTAAAATATATATGCAAATATAGATAGATAAGGGCCTACATGCACATATATGCATCCCTACCCCCAACCCACATTGGTATCTTTCAAAAGGTTCCCCATGGACTTTAAAATAAATTATGTATTTATTCTGAGTGCCATGGCTGCAGGGCCACAAATATGGGAAAATGAAATTTTCTGTTTCTCCTTTTAGGTTAGGGTAAAGACAACCCAGTTCAGGGTTTACTTCTTCTTTAGGCTGGAAGTAGTGAACTTACTATTGGGTTGGGTTCATAATTTCCCAAACCCAAGCCCCTCTACTAGAGATACAGAGCTACTTATCTTCTAACCTGACAAATGGACAGCAACCAGATTTAGTGGAAGTCAAAGTCTTTGTGTTTTCCTTTGCAAAAAGTAGCTAATGGTAGAGTTCTGAAAGAAATATAACCGAGGGAAAAATGAAAATATCCTAAAAAGGGAATAAGGAACTTTGAGGGTGACATGAACGAAGTATTTGGATTCAGTGAGGTATATCATTTGAGGGTCTTTGAGAAAGTATGGTGAAGCAGTGAGGTGTATAGAAAAGGTCTGCATGATCTCTGGGGAAAGATGGTAGCAGCCCCACGGGAGGGCCGTAATGCACACGGAGGGGAGCAAAGGTAGCCGCTGCTGCCTCTGGCCCTCCGGTCTGGTCCGCGGGTCTTCATCTCACCAAATACTCTTACACCCTGATAAGCTGTTCTGTCTGTTACAATTACTTAATGTCTAAAATTGTGTCTCTTGCTCTGGAAGAAAAAAAAGATAATAGAAGAGATTTTTTTTCCTCTCAATTTCAATCCCATCAAAAATTTTAATAAGATGAGCCTGCATACAGATGGTATATGTATTTTATCTGTTCAGAGTACTTGATTTTTATTGGGTTACTTAAGCTTTTGTCAGACTGAGCACCTGCAATACAGTGAAGAGCAGATTAATTGTGTATAATCTAAGGTGAAAGGACTATGAATAGATGGGTAGAATTAAGAAGGGGAAACAAAAATATCAGGTGACAGGATCAAATATTTTGTATTCTCAAATCATCCATATGATTTATAGATACATCTATTTTTCACTCATCCTAGACATAGTTTATTTTAGAACTGTAAAAATAATTTTTAAATGCTGTTGATAGTCTTGTTTTTGCTCATAGCTGATTTCTATCCTGAAATAGTTTTTAGAATTTCAGCATTCATTACTGATCTGGGTTTGGATCTTTTTCTTAACAATTTTTTTTAATGTCCAAGTCAGTGAAATGCTGTATATATGAAAAGGGAATTAATCAAATGAGTGCATGTATGTAAGAGTATTATGTCTATTACTGAGAATGGACCCCCATGTGAGCAGATCATAGAACTTAGTGTGGTGAAGCCAGAGTTGTGTCACTGTATCACCTTGTTAAACAGTTAACTGCCCTTAATCAGTTTCTCAGTCTGTTTCCTCCTGGCAAATGGGAAAGATGATACAAGTTTTGCATACACTTTGATATTATTTCGGAATAAAATGAGAATGAATGTGTGAAGTGCTGCTCAGATATAAATAAATATTATACACACAATTAAGAAAAATAACATTTTAATTATAATTTTATCATACATGATCTATTCAGCCATGGAACTTTAGTATATTGATGTCTGGGATTCCAAAATTCTGTCACTTTTGTTAATTCTTGAAATCATACTGAAGACATTATAACAAAAACAGAATGTTAACCTTTCTTTGTGAAAGATTGCCCTAGGTGTTAAACTGATCTTACTTGTTTGAAGGGCTAACTTAACAGATACTTCATAGTTCATTCAAGAATACATAGAGAAATTGAGATCACAGGATTTTACTATTTTTAGGGACTAAGATCCCTCTAAGAATCTAATGAAAGCTAAAAAATCCTCTCCTAGAAAAATATTCATATCACACAGACACATTTTTGCAAGGAATTTCAAAGGTGTTCATATCCATGGATCATAATAAAAACCACATCTCCACCTTAGATTGACATACAGTGGGACTTCAGTGATATTGGCTTCCTCTCTTTAAGATTTATGGGTTTTCCAGACATAGTCTTCTATTATAAACTATTATAGACATTGTTTTCCTGCCCAGCTGCACCTCCACCCATGCCCTGCCTTAGCTGTTCATCTAAGATTCTGTCTCTTAAACAAATGGATTCTTGTGTGCAGTCTACCCCACCATTCCCACTGTCCAGCATTTTTCATCAGTGCTCACTCCCAATGGAGGCAGTAAGGAAGCAAAGGGGGCTGTGAACCAGGCTAGCGAACGCAGGAAGCAGAGGCTGTGGACAGCAATGGCTGTTGCAAGTAGTTCCATTACTACCAGATTAGGTCGCAGCAGGACTGCAACAGAAGTAAATGGCCTGGAAAACTAAACTGTTAAGATTTTCACCGATTTACCATTCTGCTAATCCTAAACAGTCAAATATTTGTAGACAGCTCTTCATCAAGATCCTCTGGAACTGGACCATTCCCCACCTCTAATAATATAATGTCAGAGTGATTTTTGAACTGTAAAGGACTGTAACAGTGTAAGGGAGTATCATGCCGGATTATAACACGATTTGCTGTGATATGAAGAACAGTTACACCTCATCACATCCACTGTGTAAAATATCAACCTGATGGACAAAACAGACCAGTTTTTTCCCTCTGGTAGTCTGTCTAACCATTGTATATTTTACAAGTTTGTAGAATTTTAATCCCCAGGTTTTCTACTTTTACACTAAATCTTCCATTCAACTCTTAATTTTGCATCAGTTCACAAATGGCTCTCAGTATTTTGTGTCTTCAGACCACTACCTTAAATAAGTCAGCATGTGTTAACAACCACAACAAAATCCAATGCAAATGTTTTAAAATGTAGACATAGTCTTAGAATACCAGACGAGCATTTTCTTATTTTGTAACTTCAGCAACAATCACTTGCCCATCTCTCAGAGTGTTACTGTTTAGAAATTGAAAGTAAGGATGGAAATAAAAGCTTTTCATGAGCCAAGTGGATTAACTATTGTGGAATTTGGGGTTTTATTATCAGTGTCATTTAAAATTTTTGTATTCTAGTACCAATGTGATCCAATGACTTCTAAAATAAAATCTAGAAGAAGGTAGCAAACTACTTAACAATGAACATGAAGTATTGAATTTGAATATTTTTTATGCTTTTAAAAATATTATTGATATTGCCAGGTGAAATTTTACAGTAATATTATGATGTTGGTAATGAACATTGACTTTAAGATCTCCACATTATACAAGTAGAAAACATAGGGCACAAAAATGTAAGCTGCAGAAATGCTGCTGAGTCAGCATTAATATTGAATTTGATTTCCATTAGCTAGTGTTCAGTGACAGGGGATGTGCGTATGTGGGGTTTAAAGAAATTTAAGAGAGAGACGCATTTTTAATTTAGAATGCCAACAGGCATCGTTTGGTATCTGAAGCATGGCTTGCAGTGTTCTCTATCTGAGCTTATGTCACCATTTGGAATTCTCCTTATTTTTTAAAATGCAGTTAATAGACTTTTGTTAGACAATTCATAGAAATTAATAGCAGGTTATAGAGGAATTGTTCTTTTTTAGAGGGGAACACTGGATACAAAGAAATAGTGAGGTCATGGCTATGAAATTCAAGGCTACTCTGTGTTGTATTTTAACTGAAATTTTTTATTAAGCTTTCTTAACATTTATCGTGCCAAATTAGGGTCCTCCATGTCAACAGATTAAAACATTTTATGATTCTTTTGGTGTAGAACTATTATTTTTTAGTTTCTATATTTGGCAGATCACTGACCAGTTCTTCGGTTTCTTCAAGCCAGCTCTTCTTAAAATTTTAGGACCATTTGTTTTATAGAAATAACATAATATAGAAGAAAGTCCAAGTATAGTTTGTTGACATAAAGAAATATATTAGAAAGCAAAATGATACTGATAGACTTTGAAGAGAAAAATCTTTCCCGACATTTAAAACGAAGAAATTACATTTAAAACACCAAGGCAATGAGCAGGCTAGTTCAGTTGGAGAAGTCAAAGAATAATCTTTCTTTACTGATGTGCCAACTACTGAAAATTAGAAGTTAGTCATAAGCAGCTCATGGTGAACCCCGGGTACTAACTTCCCTGGAGCACTGAAATAGGAAACGGTAGAAGAAACTTGTAAAAGAAACCCTCAGGGATTCCTCCTTTTTCCCCCTGTGATCTCTTTAATCCTTGAATTGTCAGACCACATGGAAAAATAATAGAGCTGCGCAGTCCCAAGACTTAAGTGGTATTATCTTTTTAAAAGAAAATAGTAGGCCTTTTCACATCTCTGGACAAGAATAGGGCATGTGTTCAGTGCAGAAGAAGGGTAACTTTGAACAAGAGAGGCATACTGCTTTTTCATTTTAAATATATTGTTATTATCTATGACTAGGCAGGCTGCATCCAGTAGGGAAAAAATTATAGCCAATATTTTATTTTCCTTTTTTAAAACAGATGATTCAACGAGAAGCAGATGTAAAAAGTAAGGTAACTGCTGTGGCATTGACAGACTCTGTTCACAATGTGTGGCACCAAGAAGCTGGCAAAACGATTCGAGAATGGATGAGAGAGGTGAGACTGGATTTTTTTCAATGCTGAGATGAATGAGTATGAGCCTTTATATCTTGAGCCTCCTTCAACTTTTATCATCTCCCACCTCCAGACTCTTCTTTCTGGAGACAGAACATTTAGAGGGAATATGAAAAACTAGACATAGTTGAAATAATGATAGAAAACCCTTCTGAATAACAAATAGTTATGTGAAAGCCCTCCTACCTTTTTTTGGCTTTCTATAGAATATTATATATACATGCAATATACAGTGGGAACTTTGGCTAAAGATCATCCTGTTAAGTTAAAAGGTTATTATTCCCTGACATTTAACTTTTGCACCAACTATTTAGTATTGGTGCTACTTGATTTACCAGAAAGAAGCTTAATATTTACAGGATTGCCCCTTTTCTTGAAAGGTGTTCAGAATATGCCACTGTTCCTTGGACTGGCTCATTACTGCCGGTAGGGGGAGAAGCAGCAAAAAGCCGAAATTGTATTTTGGGAGACCCTTGAGATATAGTAGTCCAGGACCTGGTTGCAGACTAGCTTCAGGCTAAGAAAGCTTCCTTTCACACTTCCTAAAAGCTAGTGAACCTGAAACTACTAACAAGGATTCATTAAACGTGCTTCAATTTTATTAGGAAACTTCTGATCCATTACATCTTTTACTTCTATTATAAATAACAACTGAAATTCTTAAATTTATAGTTACCTTACTGAAATTAGCAACTGACATCAGCCACACCATGCTATCTCAGTTGATTAATGAAATCACATATTCATTTGAATGAGCTAGGTGACTTTCCTGATTTTCTCCAAGTTTTTGTGAATAGTATACTCAGGCATTTATTCGGTTGCCTTCCCACCATAAGTATGGTGTGTAACTTCTCCCAGCCCTCGTGGTGGTGCTCTGTAAGGACCAGAGAGTTAATGTTTGAAGAGTTTGGAATACATAGCAGGAGTAGATAATGTAATCCCACAGTGGCATAGTCACAGCATCACCAGTCTGTTTTCACTATTATTGTTATTCTCCATTGGAAAATGTATTTCATCATACAAAACTCCAAAAATTTTTGCTCCATTCCTCACAATGCTGTAAACATATAAAGGTGGGTTTTTAAATCTACTCTGATACCCAGCTGTTCTCTGACCACATTGCTTCTCATACTTCTCCTTTCACAATTTATCTATATCCTGATTGTCTTTTCCAAGGCCCTAAACTTTTTCAAGAGAGTTTATGCATTTCATGCCTATACATTTTTATGTTATTTATCTGTCTAAATGGATATGTACACAGGTCCCAGCATTATATAAATATTAACATTAATAAAATGGCTCATACTGCCTTTTTCCCCATGCATAACCAATATGCAATTTAGTACTTGTCCCAACCAGAAACATCCCTGTTCACCTTTTTTTTATTGTAAATTCTTCATATCTCATTCCAAGTGACAAATATAAAAAAATTTATTTAGATTTACTTTTTAAAGTATTTCTAAGATTGAATTAGGCACCCCCTTAAAAAATCAGAATATATGAATCTGTATATTTTTTCATCTTTCAATTCTTCAGTTTCTTCAAGCCAGCCCTTCTTAAAAATTTAAGCTGTAGTTGAATTCATCTTAATCAATACTCTCAATTTCTTTACAAGTGTATCTTTCATAAAATTTTATGAATGACCTAATTTTTGAATAGTTCTTTCCATTCCCTTGGTTATGCCTAAGCCTGTGGCAGCATGAGGAGTTTTGTATTGTGACATACCAAAATTCGAACCCCAACTCAACTGATTACCCAGTTATGTAATCTTGGGCAGGTTATTTTATCTCTTTAAGATTCAATTGTCTCATCTATAAAATAAAATACCTACCTTGTGAACGTCATTGGGAAATAACATATGTAAAGAAATAACATAGTTGTTGGCACTTTAAAGTTCTGTCAGTCCAGTTATTATTGTTACCTTCTCAACCTCAAATATTATCAAATACAAGCACAGCGTTCTTTTGTTTTATGAGTGATCTGCATATTCAAAATATCTTACAAAAGAGAAGTAATTCAGAACAAGGATTTAGGAGAACTGAGTTTTGCTGATGATTCTGGCTTAGTCATTCACTAGGTAAGTTAGTAATTAAGGATCTGGCATGTACCAGGTACTCTGCCACTCTCTCTTTCTGGGACTGTTTCATAATTGTGAATTAGAGAGAGTAATTCCTGTTCCATCTACTTCATGAATTATTGTGAGAACCAAAGGTGATGACCAAGAAGAAAAGCAAACACTACTGCATAAAGAAATAAATGGTATTATTATAGAAAACACTATAATATCCCAGATATAAAAATTATTAGATTAGATAAAAGTTATTAAACCATTGTTGATGGAGCTTTGAAATTACCCCAGCTTAGAGTGCTTCCCTAAAACAAGAACAAAAAGGGAGACTACAGAAGTCTACGCCAGATATCCTCATAGGAACCTACCTAAATGTGTGACCCCCTGGTAAAGAATTCAGCTTGGCTTAACAAGATACAAGTCCAGTGTTTCCCAACAACTCAGGAAGAAACTCTATCCCCCGTTCTTTCTCCTTTGCTAGTTCCTGTCCACTCTGCAAGGCTCCTTGAAGTAATGAAGAGCGAACAAGCCTGGATTCAGTAAATACAAAGGGCTGTGTGTGTTGGGAGAAGGATGTGTTAGGTAACTTTTGTGTCAGGATCACACTTTCCTACCACCTCCTATTCCAGCTTCATTTAGAATCAGCTCTGAGATGTTTTGTAAACATTCCTCCGGAGAAAAACACGTTAGCTAAACTGGAATGTTATCCATAAAAATGGCAGTCTGGTTGTGGATAAATCTCAGTGCTTTTGTTCTCTCAATGATTGGCTCCAATATTCCGCCAAACACTGCTTTAAGATTTGGAAATAGGACCAGGGTCAAATTGCCTAGTCATTACTATTATGGTACTACGATATTTTTAGTATAATTAATAAATTTTTGTTTTGTAATCATGTTTAAAATACTATGGTAAAGGCTTTGATGTTAAATATTCCTTTACTGTAAAATTGACTTTTTTTAAAAACCTATCAATTAGCATACAGAAAAGTTAAATACTATATTCTTGTGTTATTTAATTTTAAAAATAATTTGTTTTCAGGAAAGAAGGCTACTCTTGGCAATTAATCCAAGTGAAATCTTCCCTAACCTAAAGACCAAGTATACACACTAAGCCACACTCATGAGAAAAGGTAAAAAGTAATGGAAGGCAGCTCCTAACAGGCTCTTCTTGCCTCAGACCCCAGAACTGTAAAGGCTAAGGAAGCGAGGTGGAACTTGGCAGGACATTATGCTAATTGTCAGACACAGAAAGGAAAAATACTACGTAATCTCATTATATGTAGAATCTAAAAAAGTCAAATATATAGAAGCAGAGAGTAGAACCATGGTTACCACAGGTGAGGATGTGGGGGAGATGTTGGTCAAAGGATATAAAGTTGTAGTTATGTAGGATGTGTAAATCTAAAAACCTAATATAAGCATGATGACTATAGTTAATAATACAGTACTGAAGAATGGAGATTTGCTAAGAAAGTAGATTTCAGAGCCTTTCACCACACACACCAAAAAATGGTAACTATGAGAGAAGATGTATTAATTAGCTTGACAATAGTAATCATTTCACTATGTGTATGTATATTAGATCTTGTTACACACTTTAAATATATGGTTGTTGTTTTTTTTAAAAGGCTGAGTGGGTGGATGTCATTTTCTGACATAGCCCTGGCTTCTCAAAGTCTCCAGCCAGCCAAATGAGGTGTATGGTCTACATAACAATCGTGAACCCTTATACATCACTGTTCAGCTCTGAGTGTCAGTCCTGGAGACACAGTGTGGTTAATCATAGATGTTTTTGTGTAAGGACACAATGCCTTCCATATTAAAGATCAATGTCTAAGGAATTGGTGATTTACAATACAGACAAATGAAATAAAAATGAATAAAAACTGAAACTCAGCCAGAGCAGCAAGCACCCCAAAATACTCCCAAATATCTTGCATAGGTATACCTCCTACCTACTTTTCTCTTTAACATAATATATTAAGATCAACCCTTTATATAAAAAATTTTAATTCATTTAAAATCTATATGAGGTATTATCAACCCTTGGTTTAAATGTCAGAGAGAGTCCTTCAGCCCTATGGCCTACAGGCACTTCTAGTCTGTACTAATAGTTTCCAAGCTTTTTGATTTGAAAAAGAAGTCAATTTACAACCCCAAAATCTTGTAAGGTCATAATTTTAGAGAAAAGACCTTTAAATTGAAACAAATTTAAGGAACACCATATTGCCTATTTCTCTTTTTCCGTCAGACCCAGACAAACTCTAGTTACATGATCCTGCCCAATTTGCTGTCTCTGGCCAAGGACTTCTTTCTACTTGTTAGTTGAGAGAGATGGGGCTGCATCTGAGGCTCAAGCATGGCTTTGTTGGCATACCTCTAGTTCACATGCCTTATTGTCTGTTCAGGGCACCCAAGAGTAAGACCTACAGGTGCTGGGAGCACTTCGGCACATTTTGAGTTTAGCTAGAGCTTTCCTAGTGGGCTGGCTCTGCTGCCATCTGGGACACTCCGCTAGTGTTCAACTCATCTGAAGAACTGGGGGGTGAGGGAGAGTGAAAACTGGGGCATTGAGAAGAGGGATAGAATAAGCAGTAGAAAAGCAGTGAAAGAGATTTAGTTTTTAAACTATAGAAATGTATCTCAGAACAGGCAGTTACATTTAATAAGATGGAATTTCAGATAGATTGAATTCATAGTAATGGCTTTATCTCATATTTCTTTCTTTCATATATTTCCCAGTATGTGTACATTATTTTATTTCATTATTCTCTATCACAGGGCAAACATATTTTTTGCTTATTTTTTGCTCTTTTTCCTATGTATTTTTCCAAATAAGATAAAAATGTCACAAATACATGCATGCATGTACACATATATACTTGTCAAACTTATGGTATCAAACCTTTACAATCCTACACAGTCACTTGGCCTCCAGAGAATTTCTGGACATATTAACATTAACTATAGGTAGTGTATTTATTTTCTGTCCTACTATTAATGAGGGTTCAAAGCCTAAACATGTGCATAGATGAAAACTGAAATTTCAGAATCATAAAGTGTTAACCTCTATTTTGCTTTAAATGTCTGAGTTAAAGGTGACCTGGATAAAATCCATTTTGTTCGGCTTTTTAAAGTCAGTAATAATGAATTGGAAAGTGACTAACTGCCTGCATATTGTAATGTACACTCACTTTTAATAATACTGGAAATATCCTATAAGACATAGTTTTACATACGTGAATTGTAGGTGAGCAGTATTAAGACTGACATACCACCTGGGTAATAGCTGACTTTCATCAGATTTTGAGGTGCTACTACAATGAATAATAATTAAAATATATACCTAATCGCTGCCTGTCTGTCGGTAGTGCTAATTGCTGTCATTGAAAAGACTGAATTGTTTAAGAAAAAGAGAGAGAAAGAGAAAGTCATTCTTCATTGAAGCTATCTCCCTGTATCATTGGGAGCCTATTTTTAGTACCTATAGAAGTCATGATTTTTGAATTTATTAAGGGCTGTGATGAATGATAAAACAAATCACCCATTTACATATCTTGACACTGCTTTGGAGAATACTTATTTCTTACAAGCAAGTGTCACATTGTATATAAAAGCTGGCTAATTGTGTGCTAATCTTCTCCATTATCTAGAACTCTCTGATATGGTTTCTACCAATAGTATATTAATCTTACCTACTTCAAATGTATAAAATATCTTCTAAAACCCATTTCTTTTATAATTTCTGCTTCCTCACATTGTATAATTTTGCATTCAGCTGCTAATTAAGATTAGGAGTATAAATTATAGAATACATATCTACTTTAAGCCATCAAGGTTTTATAATACATGAAAATACTATTATTTTATCCATTTTAAATGTAAAAAGGGAGAAAGCATTTAAGAACATTACTGGATGTTGTGTTTGTTTTCATAGGTTTTTTTTCACACAGTTCAATAGTTTCATTGATCTACTGTTCCTTACAAAAATCTGCCATGCTTTGTGAACTTCACTTTCTAATCTCATACAGCAACCCTTCCTTTATGTTATTCCTGCTTTCCCTGGTCCCAGAACAGTAGGGTTGCCTTGACAAATCTATTCAAAAGCCATTCCTCGGCCTTTATTGGTGGGGACTGGGGCCTTTGAAATTCTCTTCTCACTGCAACACAGCTGACATCTTCTTCCAGACAGAATGAATTAAGGAAATACAATAAGACACTTGATCTACCAGTCAAGGATCTTTCCATAGTGAAGACGGATTCCATGGTGCACAACCAGGGCAGCAAGCATCTAAAAATATACAATATGTGCTTGTTTACCAGAATAGTAATCAGCAATTTTTTCAACATGATTGATAGGATGATTTCTTTTAAAATAAATGTCTGGAAATTCATTGTGTATGTGTATATATGTGTGTGTGGTGTGTGTTTTGAAAGTTCTTAAAAAGCCATATAAGGTTAATCACATTTTTTAAGCCAGACTTCAAATACAGACTTAAAATGTATACAAGGAATATAGATTATTTTTATGTCGTTTGTTTGACTTGTAAATCATCATTATCTTAGAGGTTGATCTTTACATGGAAGGCTTTGTGTCCTCAGACACACAGCTACAATTCACCAGGTTGTCTTTCTTTTGAACTATTTAATACAGCCTTCATTGAACCAGGTTAAAGTAACAATTAAGAGATAGTATATTTATATGGGCTAGATTTTGAGAAGTGCAAAATTTATTACTTCTGTTGTTACAAAGACAAAGCGTATTGTTTTAAAATGTACCTATTCTTTCACATGTTCAACTTTGTATTTATTTCCATCTAAAAGTGAAAAATGGACACAGTTCAATTTCCCTTAATTAAAATCCTAACCTCTTATATTGTGTCATGGTTCACAGAAGGTTACAATTCTTCTTAGTATCAGCACAGATGATTTGCTCATTTGTAGAAGATAACCTTTTTTTCTACAGTCATGTTGGTCATGAATATTTTCTGACTATTTATATTAGAAAACTGTTTACAGCCTATGGAAAATAAATTGAATTGCTTCTATTGGTTGATTGTAAAGGATAAATTAATCTTCGCAGCCTAAAATGTTAGTCTTGGCTTAAATTGTGTTTCAACAGAAAATTGTCTCTATTATATTGCAGAACTGTTGTAATTGGGTCTCTAGCTCAGAACCATTAGACACATCAGTGGAGTCCATGCTGCCTGACTGTCCCCGAGTCTCAGCAGGTATGTGTTTGATGAGCGATGTATAGGGATTTTTTGAAGGTGAAAAATATGCTAATGAAATGTGGAATTCTGTTTTGTGAATTAAGCATGTTTTACCTTTGAATGAATTATTGGTAGTGTAAGACATGGGTCTGATCCACTACCAGAAATTTGTTAAGTAGCTGAAAATGCTTACCAAACAGCTCAGTGAAGATGAATGGGTGAAATAATTTAAGAGTAATGTCAACAGTTGCTTTTGAAGCTTAAGAGGAGACAAGATGTACATATAAAAAAAGTTGTTGAAGACAAGGACTGGGTGGCCGTACAGGGTCTCAGAGTATTCATCTCCAGTTGAGTACCAACTCTCTGATACAACAGACAGGCAAGGCTGTGAGTTCAGACAAGAGAGGTTGCTGTGGCCCAGAGTCTGCAGACAAAATTTTCATGTAAAAGATTTTGGCTGGACCTTGTGTGTTAGACAGGATTTGGATTTTAGGAAAATGTGCAGGATGGCATTCTAAGCAAAAGAGCAAGCAGCGTAAGGAGTCAGTGTTGGAATGGATCTGAAGGTGTTCACAGGAACAAAGGCAAGATGGGCCTGCCTGTTGAAAGGAAAAGGAAAGAGGTGGGGTGGGAAGCACCTCAGGAAGAAGGTTGGCTCCAGACAGTTAAAGATGGGCATGGATTTCTAACCTACTCAATTTGTACTTTAATCTCTAATCCTAGGTAAGAGGAGAGTGACATTTTTTATCACTTCCTGGTTTTGGTTTTCACAGTTCCCAACCAATTTAGATGGTAAACACAAAGAGTGAACAGTGATATCTGGTTATGGCTACAGAATAGAAATGGGCTTATTTTGGCCACAGATGCCAGAGAATGAGCAGAAGTTTCGAAATGAACTACTCCCTATAACAATCATAGGCGATATCTAATCACTAAGCACTTAGAGTTGCAGACATGTTTATATATTTGAAGGAAATAATTTGGCCAAAAATTCAAATTCTAGGTGGAGAACTATTACCATAACTAAATTTCACCATCATTAGTACCTAAACTGGAACTGAGCTTCACTATCATTATAGCTAAACTTTCCAGGTCTGTCAGTTAAGGCTCATTCAGAGAAACAAACCACTAGGATATATATATACTACAATGTATATACATATGTATGTATGTGTGTTTGTAAGTGCATATGTATATAAGCGTGTGTGTTTATATATTAAACAATCAATTCTCTTTATTAGCAGTAGTTATGTTCTGTAAAGTCACTGAGAACACTGATTCATCACTCCTGGGGAAATGCAGGGTTAGGTTCCTGCAAGCTTGTAGTCACATTTTCATCAACCAATCAATGTATAACCTTGTTTTATGAATATTTCTGTTTAAAGACACCTTACTTAATATGTATTGTTGATTGACTAATATTGAACTTAGGGCCAACAGCAGTGTAACTCCTGCCTGAGTGAAGCTCATCTGACACACAAGACACATCACAGTCTTCTTATGCTTCAAAACACTAGACCACAATTCAGCACTGTGCTTGGGGGCCATTTCAAACAGGGAAATCACAATGAAAGTACAAAAATGTAAAAAAAAAATGACAGTGAATAGCCTGCAAAAAGGACACTTGTTTAGAGTATGAGAACTGAAATGAGAAGGTAACACATGGCCTTGTATGACCTTAGGAATATGCACGTTGAGCAACTCAGATTTTTCACCGCACATGCACAAGTTTACAAATGACCACAAAGGCATTAAGAGTATTGATTTGGGGGGTCGCAAATAAGTGTCAGTAAGTAGGTGAATTCACAAACATGGAGTCCACAAATAATGAAGATTGGCTATATATAGTAAAGGATTTGTTACAGGGATTTGACCGGATTTGACCAGAGCTGATTAAGCAGTCTCTGTGAGAATGTCAGCTTTGCATCCAGTGCTGGAGCTTGAATCTACAGAGCAGACAGTTGTTAAGGGAAGATAGATATAAAGTGACAGACAGCAGGAATGAGCTAGACCCCAAAAGCATGAACTAGAGCCCGCGAGAGCAGACTTAAACCCAAGTCAGTTCTTGTTGCTTTTGTCCTTGGTGGTATGGTGTCCTGTGGAAGACAGTGCCCTTTGTTATGGAGCTAACCATACACAGATCTGGCCTAGGCGTCAGAGATGTAAGGGAGAATATAGGGGAAAACAGAGTAGATCCAGTCCTGGATACTGCCTCATGCCACCATGTGAACCAGCAGATAAACACATTTGAACTTGAAGTTGCTGCCATTTCATTTTAACCCTCCATATTTCCCACAGAGATCTCCCTTGTGTGCCAACCTAACCAGAAACCTATAGTTTGAAAAGGAATTCTGGAAGATGTAGTTCAACCTAGCTAAACTGACACATTACAGAGCCTCCACAGTACACCCCTTGTCCCCTTGGCACTCATATATATCACCTTAAATAAGACTTAATCTCCAAATAAAGACATTAATGAATTCATGCTTCCTCCCAACATGATGCAGTTAACCCATGCACAACTGGAAGCACATTAACCTTTCCACAGAAGAGGGTACAAAGCCTTTTTATTGTCTTTGGCTGATGTTCAAATGAATAAAAGAAGAAAACAAACATTTGTGGTACACACACACACACACACACACATATATTCCTATCAGAATAAGGAAGAAATACTCATAATTATTACATTCCTCATTTTTGCAATGGGTAATGTAACTGGTATTTATAACTACCTTCTTGCCATATTCCCTTTGTTCTCAGCAAGCACCTCAACTAATCTTGGTTCTTTGCAAGTGGATGACCCATACTTTCATTCCTGAAGGGTCAGGGCAATTAGCAGTCCTGCCAGAGTTAGACTGTTGTAGTTTTCTATTGACAGTAATCACCAGAAGTACTAACAGGTGTCCTAGAGGATATCCTCCATTACTATGCTCTCATTACTGCCATTTTGTAGTAGCAACTCAAATTTCTCATACTCAACAGGGTCAGTCACCCCAGCCAATACGATAACACTCTGCTTTGCTTGTTAATTCAGTGGCACAAGGAGCTCAGAGTGGCAATGGCAGTCTCAACTTCCAGTACCATGGAATCATTGTATCACTGATAGAAGCATCCTCCCTGTGGAACTAAGACCTTTAGCCAAACAGAGTCTAAAGTTATGAATATGGGAAGCAACAGTTTTACTAGTAGATCACTGAGTGTAAAAAGAGGAGGAGTCCGTCGCATTTCTACCTCTCCATTCCCAGATCGGGAGAAATACAACAGTATATCAAGTGCTGTTTTAGAGTAAATATCACATCATGGAGGACATTGTCTCAGCCCTACAAGGTGTTATCACCTAAACAGGCACCATATCTGAGTCTTCAAAAAGTCATTCCACAACTCCATCAAATCTGCTATGTAAAGATAATGGGGAACATGTAAGACCAAGTGGATGTTGGCAGACCTCAGGCTCTTTATTATATCCTCCTGCTTGCTCTCTCTGATGAAAGCCGGCTGCCCATGTAGTGAGGTATCCTATTTAGAGACCCATATGGCAAGGAATTGATGTCTCTAGCCAGTAGCCAGCAAGGACCTGAGACCTGTCAACAGCCTTAGAAGAGGATCTGCTCCCATTTGAGCCTTGAGTAATAGCAACCCCAGCCAACACCTTGATTGTGGCCTTGTGAGGGACCCTGAGCCAGTCACCCAGCTAAGCTACTCTCAGATTCCTGACCCATAGAAACTGTGAGTGATAAGTGTGTATTGTTTTAAGCTTCCACATTTTGGGGTAATTTTTCAACAGCAGTAAACAATTAATACAACAGGCTTAAACTGTTGGTCACTCAAGCCTAAGTAGAAACAACCTTAAGTTTTCTTGAGATTAAAGCCCAGTAGGGCTCATCTTTGCTCTGATATCTTAGGGCTTAAGAGCAACTCTTTCTAAGTAGGCACTAAAAAGCTCATTGAAGACAATTCATTCCTACATTCGTTCCCCCACCACTTTACTGTACAGTTTATCAGAGATGAAATTACGTTTCTCCTTTATCACACTCATTTGATCTTTTTTTTATTGAGGTATTATTGATATACACTTTTATGAAGGTTTCTTTTGATCTTAACACTAAGGCGCCTCAACTATTTAGCTCCTCTCTCACAAAATTTTTCTTAGGACAGAATGTGCTACTTTCCGTAACCTGTTCATTTGTAGGGTTTTATTCCAACAAATTTGGCTTAAATCAGAAGATTTCATATACATCTGCTAGCATATAACCGTCTAGCCCTCAAATATTTATTGAGCCCTTATTATGAACCTGGTCCCATTCTGGAAGCTGGGGACTTAGTATTGAATAATTGCTTATCATGACTAACTTTTTAATGCAAAAGATTAAAATAAAAAAATAATAATTGTTTCCTTATCTTCTGCTAGTGGGTTGGTTCCTCCTTTAGAAGCTGGATTCACATTAGTTTGCATCAGATGATAATAGTGTTAGGGCCAACACCTGCAGTATTTTCCATACTTACTTATGAAAACTGAACAGTTTTTCAGTCAAAATCAGTGATTTCCCTGAAGGGTCCTTTAAAAATGTTGAATAATGGACATGACATGATCAAAATGGGGTTTTAAAGAACATTAGTTTAGCAAATGCATAAAAAAGAAGCAAGAAGCCAGAGACAGTAGACTCAGCAGACTATGGTGATAAAGCAAGTGCATGGCATGACCTGGAGTGGTGGCAACAGGAACAGAGAGGATGGGAAAGCTGTAACAAATATGACTCAGAAGAATCTGCACTCCTTGGTGACAAATAGATTGGATTTTGGGCTAAGGGAAAGGAAGGATACATTGATGAGCTCAAGTGAGAAGCAACTAGGATAATGAAAATATCATTACCAGAGGTCTAGGGGAGATAAAGGAGGAAACAATTGAGGGCAAGGGATGATGAAACTGTTTTATGACCTACTTGTAAGTGAGGTGATGGCAGGAAATTCAAATGGAAATAATCAAAGGTTGTCAAAATACCTTTGAAATGCCTGAA